ATTATATATATATATATATATATATATATATATATATATTTATCGAAAGCGCTTAAACTCGAACATTGTCGAAGTTTGTCCACACCACGAGATGTAACGAGCAAAGTATCGAAGAGGTAAACAACGAGGCAAGTAACGAATAAGAAGATCGAAGCGTCGCGACGTCGGCAAAGCTAATGTCGCCGCGATGCTAACCGTGCTCCAGCCGTCCCCAAATTTTAACGCAGACGCAGATCGCTCTTCTCCATTCTCTCTTTCTTCCCTTTCGCCCTTTCGCTCTCTTACTCTCATTTATCACTCGATTCAACCGCTCATTCCGTCTCCTTACCTTACTTACCCTTTATATCTGTGGCGAATTCTCGCTTCCTATTTTTTTCTCCCTCTTTTTTTTTTTATTTTCATTTTTTCATAGATCGAACATCGACCATTCGACGAGTTTCTCTTTCATCCAGAGGAGCGGATATATCTTTTCAAACCCAACCGTTTCTCTGTGAAACGAATATAACAATCGGTATGATATTTTTTTATTGGATTTCGTTGAAATTCCAACGGAGTTTACGTTCACCGTGCAGTTTACGTCCGGTGTACGATCCGATTGTCGATATCTTCAATTTTTTTTTCTCTCGACTTGGCAAAAAAATCCAGCCACAAATTGTGGACGTTTAATATAAGTTCCTTAATGGAGAAAGGACGATGATAATTTTTCACGTAGAAACTCAATTATTAGATGCTTAATCGAGAAATTCTTTTTTTTTTTTTTTATTCTTTGGAACGGTACACTCGATTCGATCAAAAATAATTACAAGAAAATAATTTTACGAGGAGTTTTCGAGATGAAATTCAATGAAGCAGATTAAAATTGGAGACATCGGTTCTTCTCAATCGAAACATTGCAAAAATCACGAGGGTAGGTTACGTGTAGTATATTTATTATATCGTGTAACGTTATTCTTTTTTTACGAGAAATTTTTTTTCTTTCCATTACTACAATAAAACACGGCTTTCCTCGCAATCCCAGTCATTTTCTTCAATTTCAACACGAATAAACGATATTTGCTCTCGAATCTTCTTCATCGATGAAGATTTTATTCGATGTGCGCATATTCATTTATTGCAATTTGATCAAATACAGAAATAATCGTATGGAATAAAGTTTTAATTTATAGGAAACGATAAATGGTTAATTGGTTAAAAAAAAAAAAGAAAAAAAAATAGGACACGGTTTTTCCTCTTTTTCGAAAAAGATTGGATTTATATGGCAACAATTTAAGTGGCAACAATTTTTCTGGATATTGCGTCGATTATATTTAAATCATCGCGATGAACGTTTTAATCCGCTTATATTACTATTTATCTTCGTTAATAAAATAATACTTTGCACATTGACGTTGTTACAATCATTATGACTCTTATTTAACCATAGATATAAATATATAATGTTCTCGTAATAATCATTCGTGATCGTAGTTTTTGTTTGGACTTGGAATTTTTTTGGAAACCTGAAAATATTGTCAACGTTGTTCTCTAGGAAAAAAAAAAAAAAAAAAAAAGAAAGAAAACAAAAATCTCAATATGTACGACAGTGCAAACAGTGTCCGCGTAGTAGTATGATTTATACGTTTCGTAATATACATTTTTTTTGCCCGAGATAACAAATATGCGTTTGTTTTAGGATGTTTTTTGAAAATTGTGAAAAGTATAATTATTATTATACTCAACGAGATTATCAATTGAAACAATTACACTCATGATTTCATTATGTGATAAAATGTGAAGAGAATTTTAATTATATAAATTCTCTTCTTATAGATAAATATCGTGATATTTTTTTTAAGATTTTATTGGAAATTTAATAGCTTTATATCACTTATATATTAGATAAATCGAAAAAAAAAAAAATCGTAAAAAAATTAAAAATCGTTATATATAAAATATTATGATATAATTAAAAATGTTCTTGCAATTTAGTTAATTTAATTAATCGAACGAAAGGAGAACAAAAATTTAAGAAAAGGATTGAACAGAAATACGTAAAAATACGAATTGTTTAAAAAAAACGAGTATATTTAAAATTATGATGAAACGTATTAAGGTTCATCATTGTTGAATAATTCGTTTAACATTAATGTACTTATCCCTGAAACAACGTTTGTCACAATATTTTTCACATCATGTTTAAATTAATCAGTGAAAACTGATAATTGATTTCTTCAAATTTGTTCAAAATTTTATTCGTTTCATATAAAAACTTGGTGTATTTATTTTATTTCTGAAAATTCAAAATAATTAAATTTGAATTGAAAGTATCACGAAAATCGATCATATCTAGTCGAGGAGAGAATTTTCGAACTTATTTTCGTGTCGCATCGTTTCGAATATTAAAAAATATTCATCGAGTCGAGTCGACTTTTTATCCCAATTTAATTTTTATTTCTCAACTTGAAAATAAAGTTATAAATTAAGTGCGATGGACTATTCGACACTTTCTTTTTTTTTTTTTTTGTTTTTAAAGATAATTTAATGAAAGAGGAAGCAAGTCACGTTACAAGTTTTCTCCAAGCTTGAGAAACTTTTTCTTTTCAAACATGTAAAAGCAATTTCAAAGAAAATCGATGTTATCAAAGTTTCAGGCACGAGCGATTGGCAGCGAGAGGACGAGAAAAAAAAAAAAAAAAAAAATCAACATTTGTGCATCTAACGTGTATCATAAATGTTGTAAATTTAAAAGTTTCTTCAACTTTGTTTTACGTGAGACTGACCGTAAAACTTTCCAGTTCAGATTCGAATAAAATCGTGAAAAATGATGATGGAAGAAAAAAAATATACCTCAAGTTTTGTTGTTGTTGCGTTCCTGTCGTTGTTTTCCTTGAATGGAATTATTCTTCGCGGCAAAATTTTTGAAAAAATCCTCCTCGCTTTTCAAATTTCGTTGCTTTCATTGGAAAAAATACTAATAATAATAATTACGTGGATATATATTACGAGGGAAAAATTAAAAAGTGGAGATACACGATAAAATTTCATATTCATATCGTTGAAATTTTTTTGCTATCATTTCCAACGCAGTAGTTCGCAAAAGGATTGGTTTCCATTCATCATCAACGCGAGTTATTCTTTTATCAATGTTAAATTCGTTTCGCTTACATTTTTTAAAAATTATTTATTTGTTATATCTTTTTAAAAGTATATTTAGTAACTAGTCATATATATATAAGTGAATATTACAAATAAATAAATTTTACAGTATTTTATAGATAAAATTTATACATGTATAATGCTATCCGAAATTATTATAAATTAATATAAATTCGAATTAATCGATTAATACAAAAGTATTCGACACTATTAAATTAAATTTCTTTCTTTCGATTTTCCCCTCTTTAAATATGTAATTTTCATGAAATTACAAATAATATCTTTTATTCGAGAAAAGTCTATTCAAATTTATTCTTTTACTTTCCACGGTTATTCAAGCCACAAGCAACGCTAGTTCCATATAAAAAATTATATTTCCTCGTTGCGTTTGTCACGTTTGCGATTATTTCATAATATTCCTTCTATCGTCGATTACATCAGATTCTTTTCTCAACGTTTTTCTTTAACGAAGCTTTCTGTTCACATTTTTATGACACATCGAATTTCGCGACATAGAAAAATCCTTCTCGTACACACCTTCTTTCCTGCCATCCGCTTCGTATCTCCACCAATTTATTTTTCTCCTTTTTTATTCCATTCGCGTTATTTCATCGATGTTGCATTTCGTGTAACCAGTATCAAAAATTGTCTGAGCTCGTGTTGAACCTAGATTACTGCTTTCAAATAAAAATGTATTGTTCGTTAATTGGGAAAAAAAGAAGAAAGAAAGAAAGAAGTGAAAGTTTCTTTCAATTATTATTATTATTATTATTAATATAAAATTATTAATTATAAAATAAATTAATTAAATATAATTATTGCGAAAAATGGATTGAATCGAATAATTAAAATCTCAACTAAATAAAAGTTTAATAATTAAAATAATATAAAGTCCGTTATACTTAATTTTATTTTATTTGTATATTTTATTATTAACAACAGATTAAATTAAAATTTATTATTTATAGAAAAATACATACCTCTTTTATTATCGAATTGATATTTTCCTTTAATAAACAATTTCATAATTTTTCAATGCCATTATCGATGTTAGAATCAACTCTCTGATTTCATCCATGGTCGATAATACGATAAAGGTAATATTAGAGAATAGGTTATGAAATGATTCGATTAAAAGAAAGAATATATTAGATCGTATCACATGAAATTACCGTTTTTATTGATCGAAAGAGAAATAATATATTCTCGAAACTATAACCTTTATTCGGTTAAAACTACGAGTCACTGACTTTAAAACCTTTTCTTAACGAGATTTCAACTGACATATTCCATTTTTATAAAACTTCATGATTTTAGTGTGAAAAATTCTTCTAATGTTAAAATTACAGCTTCTCGACAAACAAGTGATAATCAGTTGGTGAAATATCCGATGAATATGATGAATAGGTTAAGAATTCATATTTCGATTCAGCTAATTTTTATAAAATGTGATGTATATAGTCAAACATTATCAAAAAAGTCTATTGACTAATGCGGCTTGTTTCTTAATCAATTTCTGATGTACGATATCAATTTTTTGACAGTTTTTCAATAATGATCGTTTTGGCATTTGTTTAGAATTTTCATTAGCATCCAACTATTATCCAGATCGTGTACAATTATCGTATAGTATCCGTTTCTCATCACGAGTTATAATTTCATTCAAAAATGAACTTGTATCGTTTCGAACTTTATATAATAAGCATACTTTCAAACGCTGTAACTTTTGATCCTCTGTCCGTTGGTGTAGCACTCACTTTTTCAATTTTTTTCACTTGACAAATGTCTAAAAACTCATACATCTAAATCTGCGAATGTTTAGTGGATTAGCTTTCACGTTTATTTTGTTTAATATAGATTTCGGACTCGAGATTCATTTTCAAGATTCTCATTTCCAGATTTGAATTTTTGTAATCATCACTGAAAGGTCCTCTCATTGATAGAATCTTTTTTGAAAGTTAACCTAATATTTCAATATGCTTCGGCTACATCATGGCCCAGTTTAAACTCATTCAGAAATAATATTCTAAATTTATTCGGTAACACTATATTATTCACTTCTCAAAAAAACAATTAAACTAATGTAAAAATAAATTTATTACATAAAGGAAATATACAAGGAAATATAAAGAGGACAACATCGAAATATGCTAAGCAAAATATAGGTTAAGTAGAGTTTATAAGTCGCGGTTGATTGTCATTTATTCTAAAATTGGCAATTTCATGTAGTACAATCTAATATTTGATAAAGAAAATAGGAACAAACTATGTTATATAGATATACCTGTTGTTTCTACTACACTGAGTTCACTATATCGCGTCGTACGGTGGTTCAAAAAGGCGGAAAAGACCAAAGACAGAATCAAACGATTATGCTCAGTGACACTCAATTCACGCATAAAAGATACAAGATACGAATCGCATATATAAATTCAATTGAATAAAAAATAAATTTATAATGAATAGCAAGAGTGAAGAAAAAAATAAAGAATATCCGTGAGTGAAGAAAAAAAAACAAATTTCGATACCTTTTTAATTTATTATCTTGGAAGAATGGCTCGTATTGAAGGAAAGGATCTCTCGTATCCCTAGCACGAATTAAAATGACAATATAGCGTTCGATTTATTTGACGTAGGCGGATGGAGAATCGATGAAACAGAATATATCGAATTTGCAAAATTACTTCCATATATTTTTCTCTAACCTTTTCAATTTTAATTTTCTTTTCTTCTTCGCCTAAACCACACATGGACAAACAAATTTTATACGTTTATCCACGTTTCAAAGCGAGATAAGATTTTCACTCGTCTTTATTTTTCTATATCTTTCTTTCCTTGTGCGTTAACATCTTTTTATCGGAAACACTTCTTGGTTCACACGCGTTGCAATAACTGGTGAAATCATCGTATTCGCGAACACTATGTCACGCACAGGAATCAGAGTTGTTTCTAATTTTGCAAGCTTCCGTTTGCAAAATTACGATCGTGCTTATTTTCACGAATTGAATTGGAAATTAATCAGGAGGATAATCGCGTAGCCAAGTTAAAATGGAATCCTTCAACGAGTTTCTCGAACACGATCTTTCGAATAAATTGCGATATTAACAATGCAAAGAGTAATTTAAAATCTGTTCGAAGAATCTACCATGAAAATGTTGACCAACCTGTTTGCTTATTAAATTTTACAACAACGTCTTCTGTATCGTTGTTTTCAAAATTATCTATCTACATTAATCGGAAAAACTGAAAGCACATGATATATAATAAATGTTGTGTTAACACCTCGATAAAAAGTATCCTCTTTTTCTCTTCGTTGAAACGTTGAAAATATCGCATGGATGCACGAGTTACGTTCATTTTTTTTTTTTTTTTTGCATTATTTATGTCGCTTCTCTTCCGCCGTTTCTTTTTTTCGGATATAAATAAATTAAATAGTGTTTCTAGATCTCAGCGAGTTTCATTCAAGTTTTCCATAAAACGAAAAGATGCTGGATAAAAAATAAATAATATCCGAATGATAATGACTAATAATAAAACATGATACAGTTTTATCGAAATGATCGAAATAAACAAAGGAATTATGAGTGAAAAATAACACGGAGGAGATATAATCTGTTATGGTGTAAACAACGTATATGTATTTTATTTCAACATTGAACATTCACTAATGTGTATACAATATAATATATTTGTATGTATAATATATAATAATAATTGTAATAATAATATTGTATTGGTATTTATGTATACAAGTACATCATTTTTACTGCTGCTGTTAAATGTATACACGTGTATGCATTCAATTAATTAATCGGTATAATAATTAATTCTAATGCTTTTCATCGATTAATCGTACTGTATATCTCTGTCTATCCTTTTCTAATTTACGTGTAGATTAATACAGCCCTTAAATCAATTTTATATATATATATATATCAATCACTTGTCTGTTTCGTGGATAAAATCTCGTCTTGTTTTATATTTACTTTACATGCACGCGTGCAACTATTATATATATATGTATATATATTTTGCTTTGTACGCACGCGTATGTATAATATTCCCTGTAATTTATTTTCTCTAAAAAATTATCTACTTCTATGTGTTCAATTATTAACTAACTAACTATTGGTATATCATCGTCTGTGTTACGCTTCTCTCTCTCTCTCTCTCTCTCTCTCTCTCTCTCTCTCT